TGAACATTAAAATCTTGAAAATCTTCGACACTTCGATAAATCTTCAGGTCTGTTAGATACCTATTACCCTTGTTCCAGTGTGTCCTTCATCACATCAAAACTAATATAGATATTTGATGTTAAAAATATAGAAAGTACATCAATACTAAACTAGATCTAATTAACCTATCTATCTATGATAAAGATATCTATAAATATCACTTTACTGAAAGTCGTCTTCAGGTAAGAGAATCCTTAAACAGTGTGTGACAAGAAGCTCTTTAACGCCGCACACACATTTACAGGATACTCACTCACTCACTCAATAGCCCATAGAAATACACTGCTGAGCCTCCTCCCCTTCCTACCAGCATGTACTGTACAGTCACTCAAAAAAAAATATCCATACAAAATATGACACAAAGGATGGAGGATTTTGGCAACCCAACCGAGACAACAGGAGTCAGTGTTCATTCTGAAATTCATCGATCACCCCAAGTAGAGATAGTTTTTTGAGTGAGTTTATACACTACTCCCTACCCCTACCACTGACAACCATACGACCCGCCACTGGTAATGTTGAGCTTGACGGCAGAACAGTCGGCCCCTCTGCGTGTTGACGGCTAGCCAGAGATTGGAATGCAAACAATGTGTGTTACTGAATTTTGGATGAAACTTCTACAAGTAAGGTTATGTATATATCGCAGCCTAGTGTGTATACTTATATGTTATAGGATCTGTAACCCACGAACATACTCGGCATACCACTGTCTGAACCCACGAACATACTCAGCATATCAGTCTGATTCCACGAAAATACTCAGCATATCACTGTCTGAACCCACAAACATACTCAGTATACCACTGTGAGTGTGTGTTTGTGTAAGTCTTTGTGTGTGTGACATCCTTAACAACTCATATCATTGTATCATGGCTGGATGATCGTCATACTCGATTCCGAGTGACAGCAAAGTAGTAGTAGTAGTAGTAGTAGTAGTAAAATAACTAAGGACGGCCAAAGACATCTAGGCGCAGTAATTGGCACTACGGACTTCAAGACCCAGTACGTAGGGGGAAAAGTGAATGAGTGGGTTAGCGAAATCCATGCTCTATCGGAGATTGCTAACACAGAGCCACATGCGGCCTTTGCAGCATTCACACATGGAGTCAAGCATCGTTGGAACTACCTGATGCGTACCATCCCTGAGATCCGACCTCTCCTCCACCCTTTGGAAGAAGCAATCAGTGTCAAGTTCATTCCCAAACTAGTGAAACACCACGACTTAACCCTAGCAGAAAGAACACTTCTTGCACTTCCACCAAGACTGGGAGGGATGGGACTAACTAATCCAGAGGAGATTGCTGACTCTGAACATCAAAATTCACTTAAGCTCACGGCAGCCCTCACTGACCACATAATAGCCCAGAATGCAACAGGGGAAGTGGACACCAGCGAAGTTAATAAGATCCGTAGGTCCATTACAACAGATCGGCAGCACTGCCAAAATGACATGTTGCAGCAACTATTGCTGCTGGTTCCAGAAAATTTGACAAAAAAAGTAGCTATAGCGCAGGAGGTGGGCGCCTCGAACTGGCTAACTACGTTACCGATAAGGGCAAATGGTTTCAGCCTTAACAAACAAGAATTTACAGATGCCATTGCTCTAAGGTACGGTTGGCCAGTAGATGGTTTGCCCTCCCAATGCGTGTGTGGCTATTCCTATGATGGCGATCACGCCATGGTTTGCAAGAAGGGGGGCTTCATATGCATGAGGCATGACGAGGTAAGGGATCTCACAGCAAATATGTTGAAGGAAATCTGCCGGGACGTCATGGTAGAATCGACCCTCCTTCCACTGGATGGCGAGATCTTCCAACACAGGACTTCAAACACATCTAACGAAGCCCGTGTGGACGTCAGTGCTCGAGGATTCTGGACGCGGGGACAGCGAGCTTTCTTCGACATCAGGATTTTTGATCCCATGGCCGTTTGTCACCGTAACCTAGCTCTCGATGCTGCGCATAGGAGGAACGAGAACGACAAGAGAAGGGCATATGGGGAGAGAATTCAAAATGTTGATCAAGGCAGCTTCACTCCTCTAGTGTTCACAACCGCTGGTGGGATGGGCCCAAGTGCAAGATGTTTCTACGCCAGACTCGCGGAGCTGATCTCCGAACAGAAGCAGCAGCCCAGAAGTTATGTCACAGCCTGGATGAGATGTCGACTGTCCTTCTCTCTCCTTCGGTCGGCTTTGCTCTGCCTCAGGGGAACGAGAGCTTCTGCCCCTACTCCGACAACTGCTGCAGATATCGACTATGAGGCTACAGTCACTGAATGCCGCATGGATCTGCGGCTCAACTAATTTAACACAGATAGGATAGTTTCTTATGTATTAGGATATTTAATATTAAGGTAAATAAATGGTGGCGAAGGTGTGGCTATTGGGGGAGGCTGGAGGCCACGTTTAAAAAAAAAAAAGTAGTAGTAGTAGTAGTAGTAGTAGTAGTGTGTGTGTGTGTTTTAACGCAGCTTAAACTTTCTTTGTTACATCACTTCCGGGTCCATAATACCTGAGATATGTGTAACTTAACCTAAACCTTATTTAACACTGTCGGTCAACACATCAGCCTCTTTCTCTCCATATAAGATGGTCTTCATACCGGCTAGTGAGTATACATACTGTGCTGTGCTAGAGCGACACATAACACGGTGCCAGACCATCCACGGCGTAATATCGAATTCCTTCCTCTGCGTCACAGTTAGCTACAACATTTGACTTCTCCCTCTGTGGTATGCTAGCACAGCTAGGCCTCCTTATGTTTACACCCCGTCCATCAGCTCTCATCTTACTTATATCTAGTCCTTGTGAAGTGGAAGTACTACATCATACACAATGCAATTGACGGTAACGCGTGCATCTCTCGCTACTATGATAATGGTTGACGTCCTTGTAAGGGTGCTATCCTGTGTGACTCACTACCAAATATAGCAGGTTTCTCAAGCTCCAGTTCCTTCCCGTACTGACACTGGATAAGCCAACTGCGCGAACGGCTACTAAGCTGATAAATAAAGAAAATTATTATAAATAAATAAAACAAAAACACTGATCACTAATTCTAGGTACACAAGAAGACGGTGTGGTCGACAATGCTCTTCACCGCCGTCACTTCCCAAACTGTAAATTCACGAACACATTGCCAGTTGAGTCAACTGTATTGCCTAAAAAAAAAACATATACACATATATACAGCTCTTAAATATCCTGAACACAAGTCTTTCTCTGACAGGTTTGCACAACTGCTGCATCTTATGGTCATGAATGTACAATATTTTATCAGTTTTCAACAGGTGCTCTATTTCACAGATTATATCATTTGCTATAATAATGTTAGTGTATAATTCTAGTCTTCTTTAACTTGGATTTGGTAAGTCTAAGTTCATCCAGAGCACATGGAGATAAACACCTCAGTTTTCCACCTTAATATAACCAACCTAAAGGTAACCAGCGTAACATAACCTAACCTAAACTTAACGTAACGTAGCGTGACGTAACCTAACGTAACGTAACGTAACCTAACCTCCTCAGGTATTGTGAGAATGTTGACTCATCAGGTGAAATAAACTGAGGTGACTAATCTTCACGAGATCTCTCCAATCTCATTATTTCGACGGATATATTTTTGGTCACTAAAATACAATTCAAATATTTTCAGTCTGCAAAAACTCTTAACATCCTCATCTTTCCTTTACCGGGAGTGTAGGGCTACAGTGTGTGGGGCTACAGTGTGTGGGGCTACGTACTCTAGTTGTCATAACAACACACACAACAGCCGCCCACATACCCACACATTAAAGGTAGCAGCGGCATGGGTGGGGGGGGGATGGTCTGTGCCACCTCACCCTTCACTCCACACCTCCAGTATCCAACATACATTCCTAAATATCTTCATCACCGTTGATTTATTAAAGGCATCATAATAATTAACAAACATACGGACATATATATAAAGGAAATGAATGAAGGAAATAAAAGGGGCGGGTTAAACCTGACCTTAACCACCATACAGGGCTGACAACTAACTATATAAAGGTCGGTAAACTCAAACTGGTCTTAAAAATAACACCCAGGAAGGCTGATGAAAGCCACGGAATGAAAACTAACCGAGAGAATTAAGTTAGAAGATGAAGAACCTTTGGGAAAGTGTATTATATTCTGTAATGAAAAACAACACTGACCTCCCTGCCGCCCCCCCCCCCCCACATATACAACCAGTGGGTATTACTACTTACTAATTATGGATGCGAGTCATTTCATGCAATACTGAGATCACCTGACGCTCTCAGCTTATTTCACCTTAAACACTAACGCTAACCTAACCTAACCTAACCTAACCTAACCTAACCTATATGGTTGTCATGCGTTAGGTAGGATGGTTGTTATGAACTAGGGTGGTTGTCATGCGCTAGGGTGGTTGTCATGAACTAGGGTGGTTGTCATGCGCTAGGGTGGTTGTCATGAATTAGGGTGGTTGTCATGTGCTAGGGTGGTTGTCATGAGCTAGGGTGGTTGTCATGTGCTAGGGTGGTTGGCATGAGCTAGGGTGGTTGTCATGCGCTAGGGTGGTTGTCATGTGCTAGGGTGGTTGTCATGTGCTAGGGTGGTTGTCATGTGCTAGGGTGGTTGTCATGAGCTAGGGTGGTTGTCATGCGCAAGGGTGGTTGTCATGCGCTAGGGTGGTTCTCATGCTCTATAGTCACTAGTGCAAAGGTGGTTGCCATCTGCTACGATGCTTGTCATGCGCATGGTGACTCATAGTGGTTGTGACGCGTCAGTAGGGTGGTCGTGTTATTTTGAGCAGGTGCTGTATACGATAAGCCGCCGGGTGAACTAATAGCCAGACATATAAGCTAACATGGTGCTATGTTCGGTGGCTCCTGCAGGCTTATTTAATGTCTAACCATCGACAGGTATAGGGAGAAGAGAGTTAGTAACGTGCACAATAATGACTTCTGTGGTTAC